AAGATGGCGGATTCATTTTCAAATGCCCATTTCGTAGCCAACTTCAAAATTTGTATACTTTGAATTGAAATGGGAGGAATAATGGGTCAAAGACATCGGAATGGATCTCCTTCCTCAACGTCATTCAAACCATTTCCTGACGTTAGTTGTAACGACTCAACCCCACGAATAGATATTGTCCTCTTTTGACTTTTCGTTTCAGACTTTCTCTTATAAAGAATGTTTCGTTCTTTTCCCTAACCGATGTGGGATCTCACATTCACCCCTTTTGAGACCTGGTGTCCTTACTGGTACTCGTTCCCTTCTCCAATCGATGTGGGACCTCCCAATCCACCCTTCTTCAGGGTCCAGTGACCTTGCTGGCACACCGCCTCGTGTCCACCCCCTCTAAGACTCAACCTCCTCGTTGGCACATCGCCCAATGTTTGGCTCTGATACCATTTACAACGACTCAATCAAGTCCACTACTAGTAGATATTATCCTCTTTAGGCTTTCTCTTTCGGGCTTTCACTCAAGGTTTTTAAAATAGGTATGCTAAGGAGAGTTTCTACACCTTCTAAAAAATGTTTCGTTCTCCTCCCAAACTAATGTGGAACATCACAAAATTGAATGGAATATGTACTTTTGTTGTCAAACTTGGAAGAAGATTATACATTTTCGGTCCACGTGACAATAACGGTAAAACATGTTGGAATGGGGTTTAACTGCGTTGATTGAAACTTTCAAGCAATTTGAATATAGTTGACATTCGATTATTCAAACACAAAAAAGAAACAGTCTACAAAAGTGGAAGCGTACACGGTTGGCTTAAAGTTTCGAACTTTATAATAGAATACATCATAATTGGTTCTAATTCCCTCCATTTTTAGGGCTCTAAAACATTCTTCTAACAACACTGTCTGTTCAGGTTTGTCGCCCCTTTATGCTTTCTTTGTCAGCTATTGAAAATGAAGGCTGCAAGTTGGTGTAATTCTGATATCATACCATTGTTAGTTTATTTAATCTTGTATTAACCGTAATTAATCTAATTTACTGTTTGTATTTCAATGTATGTCAGTTAAGGGTAGTTAGTAGCGGTTAAAGGTGGTTACTAGCGGTTAAGGGTGGTTACTAACGGTTAAGGTGGCTATTCTGTCTATATATGTATTCTGTAACCAGTTGAATAATAGTATGTTGGTTTATTGCCTCTCTCAGTTGTATGAGTGTTTTCTAACATTTGGTATCAGAGCCAAGTTACATGCCAAAGATCATGCCGAGAAATAATAACAACACTGGAGAGAGAGGAGAGTCGTCGAAGTTTGCAACAAAGGAAAGTCTGGTAACACTCCAATACCCGACGTTATCGAGAACCAACTACTCAGCATGGGCTATGAAGATGAAGGTCTATTTGCGTGCTCAAGGGGTGTGGGACGCAATCGAATCAACTGAGTCTCTGGATAGCCTTGATGAAAGGAAGGATCAAATGGCCTTAGCAGCCATCTATCAAGCAATCCCTGAAGAGATGTTGTTTTTGTTAGCAGAGAAAGAGACAGCAAAAGAAGCATGGCAGACACTAAAAACTATTCATCTCGGTGCTGAACGTGTAAAGGAGGCAAAGATCCAAACTCTGAAGATTGAGTTTGAAATTATGAATATGAAGGAGTCCGAGACTATTGATGATTATG